AAGAAAGACCTCTTCCATGGAGGCCACGTAATCCTTTGTCCTCCTGCCATTACCTGAGTCTTGTGGGTGTTGACTAGTGAAGGTGTGGCAGCCACCATGGAGCTGCTGCGTGGCCGTGGCAGAGGCGTGACCAAGGGTTCTGGGGTGCGTTCGGGTCTCTCCTCCAGGATCTGCCTCAGGCGCTGCAGGTAGAACATCAAGGCCCAGTGCACGCCCTCCTCGGTCCAGTGCGGCTGCAGCAGGCAGCGCAACACTGCCACGTCGAAGTAAGTGGCGTAACGCACCCGCTGGGACAGGGAGGCTGGCATGCCGGCCGGGGCTGACGTCCTTGAAGAAGAGAACAGCTTGTTTTCACTGAGACATAAAGGAACACAGAGCCTTTTCTTCAATAACAAAAGTAATCCCGTTGATTGTTGCATTCACAGGAAAAGCTAGGTAATGAAACTTTAACTTGTTGTGGTGCAGAATTACCAAAATATAAAAACATATACACCCAAAAAAGTCAATGACTCCATGTGGCGCACCCAAAGCATGATGGGAACTGTAGTGCCAAACGTCGCAACATATTCTTCCCAAACGGAAATGGGAAAAAATAAAAAAAATAAAAAATAAATATTATTTTTAATTCTATAAAAATAGTTTTGGAACATTTTTAGTCTTACTGACATGCCAAATGATAGTAGCTTAATTTATCCTGAAATTAACACTATATGGCATGTTACGCCTATAAATAAAGGGTGTGAAAACAGCCTAGGGTTTGTAGCAAGTTGGATGTGTGGGTTCTTTTGTTCTGTTTTTTTTTTTTTTATTCCTTTTTTTGACCATGTACATGCTCCCACATAAATCTGATTTTGGAGTGATTTTTCACGTTTTTGGTTTTGTGTAAATTTGGTATGTAAGTATATGTTGTTTTAAGACCAACCAAACCAAGCACATGTGTAAAAGTGAAGTAGAAGCAGAAATTTTGGAAAAGCCATTAAGAGGTAATGTAAAGAAGTCACAGTGGCCTTATAGACATCTGACAACTGCCTATTCAAAAATCTAATTAGGCATCATGAAAAAAAGCGACAGTGAATCAGAGCATTCCCAGTACTGTCACACAAGTAACTATATCCACAACAATTACACTATGTCACGGCCTTCCCCGTTATATTAGCCCGTCATCAACTCCGGCCACACTGCTTCATTAATAATGCATCAAAGGAGGATGGTAAACAAGGGCAGAGCCCCCCTCCAGCATCATTGGAAGAGCAGCAGGGAGAGAAGGAGCCTAAGCCTACGTGAGTCCACTATAAATAAGCTGGAATGAAGGTCAGCGGTTGGTGAGCTGCAGAGCGCAGCGCACTGTGGAGAAACATATTGATACAGAGACAGAGAGAGAGAGAGAGAGAGAGAGAGAGACATTTAATCTTGGCCGCTGTAATAAATGGGGCAGGAAGAGATGGTCGATATCTACATGAATCACTTTGAGAGTGGACAGCAGAGTGAGGCTGTATCATGTTTCACTGTCTAGCCGACACACAGACACACGCTCTGCCTACTGCTGTTGTGTTAGGTTGCTATGGATGCCGAGTGACGACAGCCAGCCCAGGGCCCTTCGAGAGCCGGCAGGCACCAGCCCCTGACTCCATGCGGTAAGAAAGATGCAGCAGCCAGCGGTTGCCATGGAAACTGCCTCAGCATCAGCAGGGCTTGCAATGCGGCGCCACAGGATGAGTAAGCTGCATTAATCACCGGACCTGATGGTGGAAATTATTTTTTCTGGGTGGCAGGGTGCGGAGGTGCGAGTACAAAAGGCTGGGGAGGAGATTTACACATGAACTGACAGGTTCTGGACAGGAACTGTACAGCCCCACCTCTTTGCGGATCCATCCAGTAGGAATCCAACAACTTAAAAGTGTGAAATAAATTCCTTCTTCCAGTCAAATCCCCTCAAATGTCAAGACACTCTCTTGCTGTACATCTAATTTACAGTCAATCCACCTTACTCCCTGATCTCGCTCCCGTCCTATCCAGTGTTTCACACATACACCACCTTAAAATTCCCACCACTACCACTTAAAGAAAGCAATTAATCTGTCAGTGTCGAGTGTGCGCTGTGAAACAATAGGGATAAATCTCTGCCTTCCTGCATTATCACGTGACTGCTCAAAAATCCCTCTTTGGTGTTTGAGTGTATGAGGCTATAACTAGCTTGAGGGAGGGGGGTTCAGGCTTATTTTGATCTGCAGTCAGTTGCTGGCTGTCAGAGGGATCACAGGAAGCATTTGAGTGACTTGTTTGGCTGTCAGAACGGGTTGAGATGAGCAATGGACGGCTCATCAAGCTCTCTCCGCCTTCTCCCACATCACTCTCTCAGCCCACTGCTCAGGGTGATTCAGGATGATGACAGACCAGCCGTGATGAACTTAAAAACAGAAACCACCCACGTAGGATGCATCAGATGTGTGTTTATCTGGGGACTCTCGGGATATCATATTTGGTGTTATCCAGAAACACGCCGCCATGTCGTTTCACCAAATTGAAACCAGGAGCAGTATATCACAAACATTGATTGGATGCACCTGTAGCTATTATGTGTCGGAACAATACATCATTTCTCTTAATGGAATTTCTTTTTTTCATGATTGTGGATAACCAAAATCAGATTCTGTGAACAACATCTCAATACCATCTTCTGCCAACCAACCGGGTCAAACCTGCTTTGTCGGTGCTAAAGCGAGCACAGATTGAGCCTTAGTCTGGCAGTGAAGGCCGACCAATGCCAGACTTGCCGTGGGCAGACCAAATCAAGCCAGGCCATGTCATGCCAGGCCAGGGACACTGCCAGCATTAGACATGAAGCACATTACTTCAGCATAATTACCCTGGTTTTGTGGGCAAATGTCAGATGGGTCTACTGCTCAAGCTAGAGAAGGCTCTGTATAGTGTGTGTGTGTGTGTGTGTGTGTGTGTGTGTGTGTGTGTGTGTGTGTGTGTGTGTGCGCGTGTGTGTGCTGACTGAGGAGGCAGCACTGCTTAGAGCAACACATTACACAGGGGAAGGAGGAGCTATTCATATACGCTAGCTCTCACAAGCTAGTGGAGCGAGCTGTGCTGTGCGGTGTGTTCGACAGACGCCGCCGCAGGGATAAATGTTTAGCCATCAACAAGATGATGGCACCAGCTCTGTGTCAGTGTGGGTCACTTGTAAATCACTGCACTTCTGCACTGCTTCAGCTCACCCCCTTCTTGGGTACATCACGGACAAATTATTCATTCACGAAAGCTTTTGTGAGAGCAGTCAAATCACACATTAATCACTTTAATACTACACTAGTGATTAATTTGTGGTGATTTCACTCACTTAAGATGCTAGGATGAGAAACACGACCCCCTTGTGTTGCATGAGACAGCCACCAAAACAAAATCGTTTAATTGGTTTAAATGCAAGTATGTAATAATCCAAAGTCCATTTCTCAAATGTTTCCTTTCATGTGAATTACAATTATTTGGGATTTTCTTTAGAAATTTTTGATACACTTGACATATTTAATGCATTATTGCCTCTGTGTTCCCACTCTCTGTGCGATTGATGTATTTATGATAACATTAGAGCAGTACACAGCAGTATATATATATATATATTTTATACACACACACACACACACACACACACACACACACTGTATGTAACCTCAGGCTGGACAAGATGTTTGCTTCATTGCATATTTCATGAAACAGACAGGTACATTATAGCAACGGATGCAGAAAAGATCATTGAGCTTAGTTGAAGTTCTGCTTCCAGCTCTGCTACATTGCTATTCTTGGTGGTATATTGTAAATTTGTATTCATATTATGTAGCATTGCTCCATCCTGTTGCTCTTGCAGAGGTATTATTATTATTATTATTATATTATATTATTATTATTATTATTATATCATCATCATCATCATCATCATCATCTTATTTTGGGGGGTTTTATGTACCTGAATCAAGGGTTTAAAAACATGGTGTCCTATTCTGCGACTAGGAAGCCAAATTGAAATTTGGGGTATATAATGCTCAAATAGTCCCTTTTTCCAACCAAAAAAAACTAACAAAAAACAAAAACCTAGCAGTGTCATTTGGGTTTATTATGTTCCCACTTCCCATGTCGAGTGCCCTTATTGCATTTACGCTAAGTGAAACGCTGCTCACTTTTTCTTGGAAGGGCCTTTGACCGTTAGGGGTTGTTGGGAAGGGCCACCTTTCTCGACCGAGTTACCACGACGACAGCTCTGCTCTCCAGCTGAGGGGGAGGAGGAATCTGATTGGGCAGCTTCGCAGACCACCTGGAAGCCCTGTGGGTAGGAGAGAGAGAGAGAGAGAGAGAGAGATGGACAGACACTGTAGATGGGTGGATAAACAGGCGGAAAGAAAGTCCCTGATAATTAAAGGCTATGAGATTGGAGTGAGGTTTCTGTCATGGCCTTGGCTAGCCACGTTCATGCTCCCACATGACTGGTGCTAATGAATATTAGCAGCCAACCTCAGGGGGGATGTTGAAAGGGGGAGGGGAAGACTCTTTTCTGAACACATTCAATCAACATGGGAGGCAAGATCTGACAAGATCTGAGCTTAAAATGCTCACTCACCATGGGACCCGGGTTGCCAGATCCACAGGGGCTGCACTGGTTGTTGACTGGGGAGTTCCTCTTCGCTGTTGAGACAGGCGTGGCAGATTACATGACTTAATTATGAACAAACAAGACGCTCTTATGAGTGGTCTTTGGGGTTGTAGGTAAGGGTCTTTTCACACCTGTAACAATGTTTCTGACGGGTTTGATGAGCGCAGTAAAGGCAGGGATGTCAGGCTGCCGGTGCTCCCACATGGGCTGCCATATTACCAGGCCGCTGGCCAATCTGAAGGTCAGGTCTGACTCCTAAAACAAAAAGGTGACATATTTAGAATCTGCAGTTTTTAACATTTATCCCTCTTTCTTAAGTATCCAATCTCATCATCCAATCAAACCTAGAAGCAACTTTTGTAAGATGCACTAAACATATTTTATGACTTAAAATGCTTAAATATTATCATGTTGTTGGAGTCTTTCACATTATACTACAGTTGATAATTATAATAAACCTTTTTTATAGCACCTTTTTAAGAAGTGCTTTAAAACAAAGAAATTTATGCACCAAGTGCTTCACATAAAAAAGACATAGAATGAACATAAAACAGGCAGAATGCCATTATCGATGGAAAAAAAAAACAACAACTTAATACTAGTAAAAATAAGATAGAGGAGAATAGAGCACATAGATATTCACATGAAAATAGACATAAAATGGGCATAAAAACAGGATAAAATACCATGATTAATGGAAAATAGGATAGAAAATGATAAACACAATATACAAATTAGGAATGCATAACATAGGGGGAAAATAAACACCACAGAATAATAAAGTAAAACAACATAGAAGAGTACATAGAATGCACATAAAAAGTTTAAAAAAAACCCAACATTTTAAAAGACAGGTGCCTAAGTGCGAAGCAAAGTGCAAAAAGAGTTTTGTGCCTGTATCAGGAAAATAATTGCTAGTTAAAAGCTAAAGTGTTTTAGCTTTATTTTAAATACTGAGCGACCTGGCTTTCCTATCTTTAGGTAATGTGTTCCATAGCTCTATATATATCTATATACATAATTGACAAAGGCTACGATCACTTACACGCTACAGTAATTCATTGTTTAGTATTATTATTATTATTATTAGTATTGGAACTTCCAACTTCCTTCCGTATGTTTGTATCCACAGATCAATAGCTATAGGGTGACCCTAAGTGTGTGTGCGTTTTTGATATAGGCCAGTCGAGACATTATTACTGAAGCTGAATGAAACTGCTGCTAAATATATACAATTTACCTGAGAAAGTCATTCTTTGTATGATAGAAAAAACTAAAACTGTCCCTGCACATTGCATTTGTCTTATAAGAGTCCACAGCTTTACACATCTGTGTCAGCAGGTACAGACCTTTATCCGATGAATAAGCGGAGCAAACAGGAACACAAACAGCTCCACCGTGGCCATACTCTTGTGGAACAGCTTGGTACGAGCGTGCTCGTCCTCCTCCAGCAGGGAACCGCCATGCTGGGGGCCTGACCCTCCTAGGGCAGAGCCGGAGCAAGAGCCCGGGGCCCCTGGGGATGATCCCTGGTTCCCCACAGGCTGGAGGAAGGCGCTGCTGCTGCTGCCCCCGGACCAGCCGTGGCCCAGGCTTGGTTCGTGGTTGCACTCCTGGGCAGCTTCCAACAGCATCCAGTGCAGCGTGTGGAGCAGCTTGGTCTCGGCCACGCCCAGCTTGTCCTGGTGGCCTGTCAGAGGTCAGAGGTCAGGGGTTAATGTTGTTAAGCTCTAGTGTTTGTGTGTTTTAGTGTATCACTGGGAGGTATATGGTACTTATAATGTATTATTTTGAACTTTTCCTGGAACTTTCTGGAATTTTTCACTTCAGTTAAAGGACTACAGGACTTCTAGAAGGATTATCAAAGATCTACCACGTCATAGGCCTAAGGAAATATCAGTGCTTCAAATATTTGTTGATGTATTGACTGTTGACCCAGGATTTTCACCATGATCCAAAAGCAATAATATAGATATAGTAGATTGACAGATAGTTGACCAATAATGGGAAGGAAAATTGCTAAACATTCACTAATTAAAGCTTCTTAAGTGTGAGGATTTGCTGCTTTACTTTGATCAGATAAATCAGGGGATTTGAAGACATCACATTGGGCTTAAGGAAATTGTCTGGATCACTTTTCATAGTTTGACATTTTATAGACCACTTATTGTCCATAGTTGTTACAGCACGATTGCCAATTATACTAGACCACGGCACATTTTTCTCATTATCAATTCTCTTGTCTAATTATTAATCTTGTCTTTCTTTTAAGTGCTTTAAATAGTCAGTATATTAATTCCCTCAGTCTGTCTTTAGGTGCTGACACAGTCCAGAAAAATAATACTTAATAAACATGGTAATTATTTTGTTCTTTGTTTCCAGTCATCCACAACTGTGATTTAATGTAAAGTTAGGCTGTCATGTGACTGAAAGGACATCTGTTTTGTCTTTTGTTGAATGAGGATAACCAGGATAAGGCTGTCAGCTCAATGACTAAAGCTATGGTAATGTGTGTCCTCACCCAGCTTGTTCCTGTTCGACAGCAGGATGGAGGTGCAGTGGAGTACATGAGGCAGGGCTGCCTGGACCAGCTCCCAGCGGGAGATGCTCTGGATGGCCTCTGACAGGGCCGGAGACAGCCCGTGGAGCTTATTCTCCACCAGCACCCGCTCAAAGGACTGGGGAGGCAGCCAGGGAGAAGGAGAAAAGAGACATCAGCCAGGAACTAAAGCCTCTTTCTTTGACTATCTAAATGTCCCACATTGCCCTAAGCAAGCAATGCCTGTGGGAGAGACAGTGGCAGCTCTGTTTAGATCCAAAGGGGATCTGGAGAGGCGTCATTATGGATATGAGTTTCCAAAAGGTCTGGCTCCTGGGTAATAGGAGGAAGCAAGGGGGAAAAACTAATTTGCTAAATGTAAAATCAAGAGCCGGATAGATTTGCAGGTGCATTAAGGTAAAAACAGATTACTGGGAAGGGAGCTATTATTTTCCATCTCATCATGCACATGGCATTATAATAATAATAATAATAACTTACCACACAAGATGCTTCATACTGTTTGCCCAACTTTGGACGCAGAAATGCACTGAAAATATATTGGAGAGGAAAAAAGGAAAACATGTGCGTTACACTGTTAAATCGTCAATGCCAAATTGTATTTTTAACAACCACAACCTCATTTCACTGTATCTCTTTGGCCCACTTTCTATGTACATTTTGCATTACAGGTGTGACATCATGCAATCTGCATCCGTCTCCATTCACAGCTGACAGCTTGCACATGCAGCCCACCTTCCTCCATTTAAAACATTCAGTGGAAGTAGCGAACTGACACGCGCAGTGGGTACCCATTCACTGGCTAAATTATAATAAGGCAATCCATGTTTTTTGACGCGTTTTATTAGGGTAGAAATGCGGGTGCCTCATGTGTCAGGCGGCGACTTTGACACGGCTGCTGTCACATCCTTGATCCTCTTAATGTCCGGCAATGGCAAACACCTGTTATCAATTTCCCCCTTAAGCATACACTAACCTGGTTTGCCTCCATAGGAAGGTCTGGATGGGGAACGGTATTCCTTTCCCGCACTCCGGCTCGTTCTCGTCCAGGCTCTTCCTCTTCACCATTTTGGCCGGACCTGCCCGCCCCTGCCTGTCTGCGACCACCGGGACGCGCGGCGGCGGCTGGCTCTGCCCAGGTGACCAGCGAGCCTTCCCTCACGACATGATTGGGTTCGTCCTGCGTAAAATGGCTGCAAGTGACGACCGGTCGGTGGCAATCGAGAGAGAGAGAGAGAGAGAGAGAGACGGGGGTGGATGGTGGGTGGGTGGGGGTGAAGGAGATGGAGAGAGCGCTCTGATTTCAGCACCTCCCTCACCGGATAGCGACCGTTGATCGGCGTGCTAATTTATCGGCCGCAGGAGAGATTAAAGACGCAGTGTGCAGCTGGGCCAGATGTTTTCCTTGTCAACCCTCTGCTTTGTGCACCGTTATCGGAAATGGCACGGAAAACGCTGCGTATGACTTAAGCACAAACAATCTGCTGTAAAACGCACTCTGAATTGCATCTGGATGCTGCATTCACCTGAGGGATGATCCGCCCTTTGAATATCAACAGGTTGCTTAATCGCCCAGGTGGAGGAGGAAAGGGGGATAAACAAGACAAGCGTGAACAACGAATCTGACAGTGTGTGTTATACTGAAGTAAAGTAGCAACACCACACAATGAAATATTAAATTACAAGAGTAAAGATGCTGCATTCAAACCTACAGAAGTACTGTCACTAAAATGTACTTCCAGTAGTCAAATTGTGGCTCCCATATATTCCTATATATTATGTCCACATTGACCATCTATTTGAACTACTTTATGTGTTACTAGTCTGTTTTATACTAATGCTCACATAAGCTGATCCCATATGTTAGATCCCTAAATCTGAATTTGCACTACATGTAACTATAACAAATAAATTTAATATTGCAATATAGTCATCTAATATGTAGTAGAGTAGAATTAGAGAACTACAGAAAAGGAAATACTCAAGTAAAGTACAAGTACCTCAAAATTGTACTTCAATACTCACTAAAGTGATTTCATTTTGGGGCTGGCAAGAGACAAATAATAAAAAAAAGAATGGTCAAAATCGAAGCAGCGAAGGCCAGTATATTCTAACTTTTAGTCCTTAGTATGGTCAAACTCCAATGGATCCTACAATTCCCATAATGCAACTGGACAGCATATTTCATTAGGCCCCCTCTACTAATGAAAGATGCCGACAGCATCTTTCATTAGTCTCCATCTTTTACCCTCTGCTGCTCCAATGCCTGTATCTTTCAAATTCCATGCAAACTTTGAATTGATATCCTCAAGCCCTAGCCCATATGACCCAGATGACGCTATGACATTAGCAATGTGTTGTTTTTTTTCTTTCAAACATTGGAAATCTCACACATTAGCCACAGAAGGCATTATGGGGCTGTTTGCACAGGCTCAATAGTAACTTATCGCTCCTGGTAAGTAAACTGAGCGTCATGTGTAAAATCAGTGGAATGACCCTTTAAGTGAATACACTAATGCTCCTGGATGTAGCCACCACTATACATACACACATTTAGGGTTAAAAAAAATAACATATCAAACTATTTTTGCCACAGATTTAACAATTTGCACACCCACCAAAGGTGCACAACACCACATTTGTGTGTCTCTATACTGGATAAAATAAATGCATGTTGGAGATCCATTAATAAATTAATTCAAGAGACTAGAGCAAGCCTGTTTTTATTTTCTTTATTTCTGTTGTCGTCATCCTGTAGGAGCATTTGTCATCAGTACGTCTCAAACATCGGAAAGTGTTCACACATCTACACGGTCTTTTAAATACACTTACACAGGCAAGGAGGGGCCGGGGAGGAGGGAGGCAGGAGTGGGCTTATAGGAAGCACAGAGAAACACTGGAGGGGTAACTGACATCGGGGGAGGAGGAGAAGGGGGCAGAAGAGTTTCACAATGGTGAGCAGAGAATATGCTAAACAGTTGTGTTTTTTTTTTTTTTTTAAGGAACTCTAACAGCTTCAAGTTGAGGGTTACGCCCATTCTTCACCTCTTCGTTGTTTCTTTCATTTCCTGTAAAGTTACTGGATCAATCGCACAAAAAGGGGCCTGGGGCTCTTTCAACGGAATGTTTTCATATAAAGCTTCACACTTTTTCCACTTTTCAAACAAACTCAGGGCCCGTTGCCCTTTTAAACATATCGTGTAACCCAGTCTCTGCAAAATGAGAAAGGTAACAGGAGCGTGAGGGGCCGACCTTGAAGTAGAGACACTAGAATGCACCCTGGCCATTTACACTCACACTGAAAAGTTTAAGACTGCCCCGAATAGATCTAATTCATCAGTCATTTATTTGCCATGCCAGCATAACAGCATTGTAGCAGCCTAATTAAATCACAGAGCTAATGTAAAAACCAAACAAAGAGAGCAGCCCATTGGTTTGCAAGAAAGTAAAAATCTATTGGAAAGCTAGCGTTTTAGCGCTTGACTTGACACAACTGCAATGGTTATCCACATTTAAGTGCTAATAAGTCAGTGCAGCCACAGGGGAACGTACAAAACTGGGACAACTTCCACTACAGTGACATATAGAAAAAGAAAATGTAACAAGAAAACACAATTTGTCCAACAATTCAGAACATATCAGGAAATCATAAGATTAAAAACCAACCAGCTTCAAGTTGAGGGTTACGAGCCAACGAACAAACAAAAACTCATGTTTAGCAGACATGCTTGTCAGCCATTCCTCTGCAGGTACAGTTACACGCCATGAAGTTAAGTCTCTCACACAGTCGTCTCTTTAAGACTAACGTAGTATCTAGTAGCTATATCTTGCCTTCAGTACCATATAAATTCTGAATGGACATTATGCATGAGTTCACCTTAACATTTATCCCCATACACGTGGAATGTGATGCTTTTCACACTAAAAAAATCGCCGTACAATCGTAGAACCTCCCGATGCATTCTCTGACAAACACATCCTCTCAAACCTTAGCATTCGGTCTATCTAAAAAAACAAGAACAAAAAATGAATGAAAACAAATAAAGAGTGAACAGCTGTGTCCCTTGTAAGGGAGTAAATGAAGAATAATCTTAAGATTTCAGTTTTTAAAATCCAGATGGGAGGGCCAGAAGGCTCGTTGACGGACGAGACAGTCAATCAACTACAACTGTAGAACCTGTGGGGGTCGTGTTGCACTGAGGGATCTTGAGAGAACACAAGATGCTGATGAGTGAATGAGATCGATGGGAAGAGGAGTAACGGAGTGGGTGTTGGAGGGTATTTGAAACTAGGGGGGGCGGAGGGCAGCCCGCTCATAAGCCCTGCTTGGCCAGGGCGGCGGTGACATCCTGGGCCAGCGTGGAGAGCTGGGGCGACTCCAGGATGTTGATGCTGCCGGAGGAGGACAGGCGAGGGGAAGTGCCTCCCGTCTCGACCCCAGGGGAGTGGGTGACGATGATTTCTGCACCGTGATCCACCCGAGCCTTGGCTGTTTCCCGGAAGGTCAGCTTGTGGCTCTCAATCTGGCGAGAGCACAGAAAAAAAGAGTTTTCAAGGTTGTTTATCTCTTCTTTAGCTTTACAGAAAGTGGCAATGACAGAGACTATGTGTGTATCTGTGCGCTTCTTTTTTTTTTACCGTAATATTTCCCCCTCCAGGAGTGTGGCTGGTGTTGCCCAGGGAGCCGACCTTGGCATGGGCCTTCTCTTTAAAGTCCAGCTTCACATTCTCAATACGCACATGACCTCCTCCTGGGGACAGGACAGCAAGACAGAGATGAAAAGCATTAAACCCAGAGGACATCACTCGCCTGCAGGCTCCTGAGAAACACTCAGGGCAACTAATCTCAGCCTGCACACCGCAGTGCTGTGCTTATAAACAATACAAGTACCAAACAGAAATACCTGGTCTGTGGTGGATGTTGGACATGGAGCCACATTTGGCGGTGATGTGGCTCAAGTCGATCTTCTTGGTCTGGATTTGGACCTGTGGTTGGCGGCAGAAAGGACACATTAACCCCATGTTTACCAGACGAAGTGATGTGCTTTACAAACGTCTTGGAGGGATGGGGTCTACAAGAACATGTGAAATACAGTGAGGTGATCGCTGATATGTTTTGTGGCCAGAAAAACAGAGTTCGGAGATGTTACAAATCAGCCATGAGATGATAACGTCATGAATCAACGTTTGTCCGTGCGACAGACACAGATATGCTGGTGTCGGTTCCCTGGAGAGAGGTTAACATGAAAGCAGGCAGTAACAGCACAGACATCAATCAAACACAGAACACAGGCACACTACGTGACGCTACAGGGAGCAGGTGCTTCAATTAAACTTTATTGTCCATGGGTGATATGAATTAGTAAGTACAAACACTGTTAAAGAGACACGGTGACAGCCCTGCATGCTGTAGTGTTTACACTGAGATTGTATACGCAGAGATACTGCATGTTGTGCCTGAGGCAAATATTAAATAAAAAAAGACTTGGCACAAAACACAGTTAATAAAGATGAAAACACTCCATGACTATAATTCACAAACACGTTCATGCCTAAATGAAGAGGTTTATTAAGGTCAGAGAACTTGGAGAAAGGTTTTTGAATGTGTGTGTGCGTGCATGATTTTTTTTTTTGCGGAGCCACTCACGTTTCCCCCGCCTGCTGCGTGCTGGATTTTGTCCAGGGAGCCACATTTAGCCTGAACGTGGCTAAAGTCCAGTTTAACACTTGGAATCATGACCTGGGAATGAAAGGGTGACTTTTTTTTTAATACAAACAAACAGCGAACACTGAGGGCTTCTCATACTGGATGGGGTGGGGGCTTAAAAAAAATGGCCCACCTCCGCCCAGCTTTTCCCACACAAAATATAATCCCATAAAAGTGTCCCTATTTTAAATCCACGACCTATCAATCTGCCGGCACTCAATTCAGCACTGGGGCATTTGAATTGTAGCGGATCTGGACCACAGAAAACAAACTGTTGAGTTTTTTATGCAGGGATGAAGGCGTTTATCAGAGAGCAGAAGCTGCACTTTTAGTGCTGTAATCCATCCGGTCTTGAACTTGTCCCTGCTTTGAAAAGAGCTGTTACAGCAGCCTCAAGCATATTTGAAATAGTTTAATTCCCAAGTGCAACATCCACTTATTTGTACAAGTACTAAAGACAAAACAATCACTTATAAGAGGGAAGTAGGGAACTTTTATTTCTTGGTTGACAAAGAAGTAACATGGATATATTGCACTTTGGAAATTAAACCTTTCTTTGGCTTGACTGAAACAAGCCAATGACTGACAAACAGATGGGTAGACAGATGAACACATAATAGTAGCATGAGACACATCTACAGCCACAGCTGGAAAGAGAAAGAGAAAGAAAAGAGAAAGATAGGAAGAGAAAGAAAAGAGAAAGGCTTACATACATTGCCTCCTTTGGGCGTGTGCTTCAGATTATCCATGGAGCCGCACTTTGACTGAACATGACTGAAGTCCAGCTTCTCGTTCAAAATTTCAACCTACAACAAAATCCAATTACAAAAAAAGAAAACACTATATGTGCCTCATTTAGATAGGTGTGCTATGAGTCCTTACATACATTTACATTAACAAAGCTTTTCTTTGTGCTAATGTACAGAGCTCTGAGAATAGAAGTGATTTTTTTATTCCCCCCCTCAACCTGTAGGAGCCGCTACAGCAGCAACAAAGACACAATCGCTCACCAGCTTCCCACCCTCCGACACTGCCTGCTCTGTTTATTCAAAGAATCAAATTGAACTTGTGGGCTACTCCAGTTGGAAAACACTTAAATTACAAATATTTCTCAGAGCTGCTCTGGAGGCAGAAATATTCCCATTGGCCAAGTTAAACTAGAGAGCTGAAAGAAAAAGATTCTGGCTGAATTCATTTTAGACTGATGCTACATTAAATATGCAGGTAACAGAGGTGGTGTTTAATATCATGAAGCCTAAAACTACACGTTGAAAACTATATATAACCTAGCTGGAGCTCGCTGGTTTAATACAACCGGTGAGAGTATTTCTGCATGTGCGTCTGCAGCCATTTGTGTTGTTTTGTAAAATAAAAACAATTAAAAGAAATGCCTACTGCACTGTTCAAAGAGCCAAAGTGAACACAGAGAGAAGGTGAAGAGAAAAGAGAAAGAGGTTCAGGGGAAACACACAAGAGCCCTGACAGCAGGCCTCCATCTCCCGTCTACACTGACCTGACCTGGATTCTCTTGACAGCTCTTCATCTTACCTGCACACACTGTTCTTACTCTCCATGTCACTGTTGTTGTTTATTTGTTTTTTTACAGTTCCTGTACAGTTCCTTATATAGATAGCTGTTACACCACAGACAGCTGCAAGGTCAACCAATGACAATCTAGTCAAACCTAACAATATATATATTTGAAAAGTTATTATGTGAGAGCTGAAACAATGAGTCAGTTTATTGATTCTGAAAATCAATCCCATTTAAATTAAAATATTTTTATGATCAATTATCAATAATTTTTTCATTGTTCCAGCCTCTGTTTATTTCTCTATGACATTAATCTAAATATTTTTGGGTTTGTGACATTTACAATGGTGTAACAACAAACTGAGGCTACCGTCTCACTTTCAGACAGCATTTTTGTGCACATGCAATGCTTTTCTATGTTTGAATATTACAACACAGGTCTTTTATGTAAAAAAGAATACATTAAGACACTATATATTTATAAATAAGTCATACGTTTCCAAATGTCATTTAAACATATAAAAACATACAGAAACATCAACTCTGACATTAGAGGTTCTCACAGTGAGCTTCAGTATATCACAGACTGTCCTCCACAAGGCCTGCTCTGCTGCTCCTCCAAGTCGTGCGTCACCCAGCTTCATTAAAAATTTCTGCCCCTATGTCACAGTTCTCCCCAAAAAGGACAATTTCTCGCCTCCTCTACTGTACTTTACTGGGGTTAATCACCTCTATAACACCCAGGCAAAATTAAGACTGCCTGTTGCCTTGGTTATGTGATTTAAAATCACAGTCTATTAATCGACCACACATGTGTTATGACAACACAGCTTGGCCACCTCGCAACTCTATTTTAGCACGCAATTCTCTTCAAAGTAAGAGAGAGGCAGAGCGCTAAATGTGGCTCATTTGAGGATCAAGCGACTGTTTTGTTTGGAATCTAAAAAATGAAGAGGAAAAAGTGACGTCAGGTGATGTATTTTCATGTCTTTGATATAACCGTTCAATAAGTAATGCCGGCCACTTGCAATTATTAATACTCAGAGCCGGAAGGAAAATCCCCAGGGCAAATGATCCTGCGCATGACTGGTAGCTCAGCTCAAGTTTGTTTGCACCCTTCTTCAATGGGCAGAAATTTGAGAAAAGGCGAGGAGAAGGAAGACAAAGGGAAAGTCAGGGGAAGGCGCCAGAGGCACCGGAGGCAGCCGATGACGGTTCATCCAGACTGACGGAGATGACAGCGGACAGAGAAAGGACAGTCAGACGACGTGACGGTAGTGGTTTAGAGGCAGGCCAGACAGTGAGTGATAGTGAAGATGTGAGGAGAAATATTTGAGCATTTTATGACACTTCTACAACTCAGAGAGACAGAAAGAGAAGAGAAGATTAAACCACTCACGTTTAAAGTCACTCTCTCGTCTCTCTTTTTATAAAAGCTGTTACAAATGTCCCAATATTCTGATAATAGACATATGAAGTGGCAAATCCACTAAAATCAATATCCAGCAACAATAAACTAAGATGTTAACATACACTTCCTTTAATCAAGGAGATATAATGTGATGAAATTATTATAAGTTAAACATAACAAAGTAAGTATATATCTTGCTTGATTTTCAGTAAATTGTGAGAGATGATATATAAAAACAACTTACTATTTAGCCATGTTCAGATTTTCTTTTTCTATTTCAAGTTGTTTAACTTTGTCCTTTGCTGCCCACATGTGGCAGAAATAGGTAAATGCATGACATTTTAAATGTTCACAGGACTTCATTATCCATAAATCATGAAATATGATGTTAAATCCATGTCTTTTTCCCTGCTGTTTATTGACTATTTTGCATATTGCAAGAATCATTTTTGAGGTTTAGTGTGTAAGATTTAGGGGCTCTGTTTGCAGAATATGGTTAAAAAAAAGATCACGTGAAAATAAGAATCGTTGTGTTTTTGTTACCATATAATGAGCCCTTTATATCTACAGAGAGAGCGGATTCCCCTACCATGGAGTCCGCTATGTTGAAACACCATGTTTCTACAGTAGTCTATAATGAACAAACCCAACACAGGCTCTAATGAAGGCCTTTCAGGTTTTTTGCGAGACTTGCAGGAGGTTGAGGCGAGGGGTATTCATTTGGTTGCAATCTACAATTTTACTGTTAGATGCCACTAATCCTACAAAAATCCTCCTTTAAATAACATTATACCTGTCATGTTCGGCCTGTTACCTGTCCGCCTTTCGGCTGGTGCTTCAAGTTGGCGGTGGACCCGATCTTGGACTTTACATTCTTCAGGTCAGGCAGGGGCTGATTGAGAACCTTCAGCTGCCGCTGGGCAGAGGAAGGAGACTTGGGCGGGGTTCGGATCACCGCCACCTTCTTCTCCTGGAGGATGCTGAAGGACTTGGGTGTGTGGCTGCCGGGGGTGCGTGAGCCGGGGGTGCGGCAGGAGTAGCTGGGGGGTGTGCCGGGTGTGACGGCGGAGGAGCCAGGGGTGGAGGTCCCGCTACGGACTGATCGGGACCGTGCCGAGTCTGTACCTTGACAGAAGGTGAGAAATCGCTGGATTACAATGATGAGGAGATCAAACAAAACCCTTCCTGGAGACAGAAACACTTCGGACAAAGACAAAAAGGTGGAAGAAAGACAGCTAGAAAAAGAGCGACAAAAACATTTGCAGAACAGATGAATCTGAGTGTATGATCCTTCATCTGGTTCTGATGATGATGCACATAACACTCATGGAGCTGTCAGGGCTACCCTGTTGGCGCCAAATTTGCTCTGTTTCCACAAAACAAACCCCGGTCAAACAAGAATGTTTAACAAGGAGTATGAAAGCACACACAGTAGCTGAATTCATTTGACACTGGTGGCTTGTTGCTGGGATACTGGTGCAGGACCAATAGGAGTTTAGCTGACAACATCCTGAATAAGAACAAGAAGTGGCAACCTGTTGTTATGGATCCCACCTATTCCTCTGATAAGGTAACTGCAAGTCTGACAAAGCCAAATTTAACACATTAAAAATATTGTAATGAAATTTGTATTGAATTAGGACAAATTCTGAGAAAAATTTAATAAACCACATTCTTTCTGACTGCAAAATGAAGGTCTTAACTGTAAATAGGCAGACGATAGATAAACAGAAAACACTTTTTCAGAATGTGTGACCAAGATGAATAGCTGAAAGCTTTGTCGATGGATGATGCTCACTGGTATACAGAATGTCATATGTTGATGAGGAGGGTGTGATGGGTCTAACAGGAGCTACTAGGTGGTCTACCTGCCATACCAGGGGCTCTTCCAGACCTGCTGTCCGCTCTGGACTGGATTGCTTCGAGAGGGGAGAGGCAAAAGGACAAGGAGGAAAAAGAAATGGGGGGCAGAGAGGAGCAGGGTAGGGGGTGTAAGGTGGTAGGAGATCAAATTTAATAAAATGATTTAAAAGAAAGTGATTAGGGAGAGTCATTAGTGCAAGAGAGTAACGAGGCAGTAGGCGGTGTAATTTGGGAGAAAAACAAGCTAGAAGGTTCTGTGCATGTGTGTACTCTTACAGGTTGGCCTGGAGGGGGTGCTGTTGTCTTCTTGTTCAGCAGCAGGGATATGGCGTGTCAGAGATTTGGCAGGCCTGGGCAGGGACGACCTCTTCTCTGGGCTGCGGTATGCTCTCTCCTGATTGAACACACGCACACACACACACACACACAGACTGAAGAGTCGGTACCCAGGCTCAACCACATGCAGCGCTCATGGACATTGGTCACAGCTACCTATTGATCCCTGCCCTGCTTTCATTTTACCTGCTCTGCCCATTTGTTTGGCACAGAGGACGGGTGGGCACATGCAGAGGAGGGGCGAGCCTCACGGAGCTCCGCCTCCACCAGAGGGCTCCGTTTAATGCTACAGGCAGAGCCGGGCCGGGGGGGCTGGTGATTGGATCCCCGACGCTGAACTGCCATCTTTAACAGAACTGCCCTTGTGGGGCTCTGGACCAACGCCGCAACAAGAGTCAGAAAAGCATGCAGGATGTGAGGATGATGTGAAGGGAGGTATGCAGAGGGGACAAAGACATGGAGAAATGAAGAAGTGAGAGAGGATAATGGAGATGAAATGTATGTATTTATGATTTAGAAGAGACACACTACATGCAAGTGTCCTGTATGTCTTGTTAATTCACAGTAACTTCATCTAGTTAGAATAAAGTTCACCTGAACTTAAGGTTTTAGTTGTGTATAAAGTTTAAACTGATATAATTAGCATTTTTGTAATTTTATAAACAATGTTAATTATTTCTAAACCAAGATACTGATGAACAAGTGATTAGATTTTCTTTTAAGGAAAACCTTGGATGGATGGAAATATTTATGCAAAGAACATGAATGAAAAGATGAAACTCTTTTAGATAGAGGAAGATGAGAAGAGTGTTTCGAAGTAAGGATGTAAGATGGAGTTGAAGTCATTTGTGAGAGCTTTTGCTGCTTGTAAAATAACGCGCACATGGCTCTGTCTGCCTACTCTTGCTTGATTTCTATACTCACAGATTTTCTCGGTCGAGACTGGCTCAGTGACAGAGGCAGGCATGCGAGACAAAAGGAATATGCACAAAGAAATGCATAAATTAAAAGCATGCAGACATGGAGAAATGGAAAAAAGGAAGATAGTCTGTCATGCATACAACAAGCCCCATGATGCAATACAGGTTATTTTGTGAAATATACCCAGACAAACAAACAATATAGTACTACTTGAAATGATTTCAGTGGACTTGACAAAATTATATAATTGTGTTCTTAATTTCCTCCTCTATGCTTTAAGATGATATATTTACATTCATATATAAATACCCTACAGAAAATTTGAATTCAGATGCAAACAACACCAAAATGTAAAATAGTAAAGGATTTGGAAAATAAAACCAAATCCATGTTAATGATAATCAGAGCCACTGTGTGTGCACATGTCACGGTACTTACAGTGGTCCTTTCCCTGGACTGGTGTGCCACACTGAGGGGCTGATGGCTTTCCATACCTGTAAAGAAAGAGTCATGCTGTAATGATCAACTGAAACCAGCAAGGGGAGACATTTGCGAACGTGAATTTTCACACACATACACATCCATAAATGTAAAGTGGCTTGACAGTCCAAACGTAGACGTTTGACACCATTATTGGAAGCAAATTTTCCTGCATCATGTTCTAACAGCAGACACACCCAAATTACAGAGACACCCTGTACACATGTGAAACATCACAACAGCCATTTCCAGCAAACATACATAAGTGAACCCAGAGTAGCTATGTTCATACATCAAATACCAATCACAATTTACATTGGCATCAGTGAGCAGAAATAAACATGGAAATGAGGCAAAGCAGGAGTAAATACTCTATTTTAGACAAGAATCAAATGAGAACAAAAGTAAATAAAAGACAAAGCAGTTGAGCTCATAAAAAAAGACCAAGCATGATGTTTTCAATATCGGTCAGCAGCACGTGATGTTTGCCAGCTACATTGCACCTGCTTCATTCCTGAAAGAGCTGTCAATAGAGAGAGAGCAAAGTCATCAAAATGTTCATTATCTGTATGTTTGTAGCAACAATTCAAACCCTGAATTGCTTCACCTTTGATTGTTAAATAAAGAAATCAGCATATGTCAGGTCTTGTGGAAATTAGTTAGCAATAAAGTTGCAGAGAGCACATAATTTGGTTGCACTCTCTCTATCCACAGCACTTATTCCTGGTGAAAAGTGTTCACCTGTGGCCTTGCGTCTAGCAGAGCCGTGAAGCAGAGCAGGCCTAGGATGTCTGGCCGCCGCTTTGGCTACACTCTTTCGAGATGGAGAACGACATTGGAGGGCTGACACCTTATTCTGGTCAGCCCTCCTCACCCCTACTTGCAAAGAGGAGAGACAGGATTATACCAACATGTAAACCTCAGTTATAAAGTACTGCAGAGAGGCAAATCTGTACTTAACATCATGTTACACAAGTTACATTGCTATTGAGTATGAAAAGTGTAACTGCAAATGTACACCGATAAAAATTAAGTACATACATTGTTTTAAGCTAAACAATACTTCTTGAATACACAATTGGAACCTTTTTTCTTCTTCATCTCCTCTCTTGGTGGATGGTGGCTGGGTATTTTGCGAAACGCTTTACTCTCAGTGGTGCCAGGTCGGCCCCTTCCTCTGCCAGGGCCCCGTTTAGCGGGTCTGTCCACCACAGGTGTTCTGGCTGGACTCTGGGTTTGAGGAAGGGCTTCGAATTGCTCAGTCATGATACTTTTGTCATCATCTGCAGTAGTGAGGGATTAATAAAAGAGATTCTCCACATTACTACCTAGTTTAGTACAAAAAACATATAAAGAAGAAACAAGCTTCATGGTTTTAGCTAGTTTTTAGGTATAAAAATATATTAGATATACAATAAATGTCTTAAAGAGGTGGTATTATGCTTTTTGGCTTTCCCCCTCTCCTTTATTGAGTTATATATTTTTTGTGCATGTAATAGGTTTGCAAAGTGAAAAAGCCCACAGTCCACCCCAAAGAGAGTTCCCATCTCCCACAGAAAACACTGCTCTGAACTGCCTGAAAATATAACGCTCGCCAAGCGGCTAGTCCGACAGGCCCTCAAAAACTCTGAGTTGCAGTACACACCTCTCTCCCTTCCAACATTAGCTAGACTCCAGGCAGTCAATGGACATAAAGCTGTTACCGTGATGTAGAGACAGAGCTTGGTTAAAACTTTATGGATGAAAGATACTTTTGTTACAGATTAATAACTCACCACTCTGAAATTCTTGCTCCAGTCCATGTTGCTAAGCTGGTAAGGGGATACACAGCTGAACCAAAGCCGTGTTTACCGGCTTCTCACTGACCTGCCCTTCTCTGCTTCTGATTGGCTAGTAGTCCTTAACTAGGAACTGCACATGTGCAACTCCCAACAAAGATCATGTAGAGGCAAGATGTATCACTCCATAGCTAAAACAAAGCGTTCAACACACAAGGTGAAAAGAGAAGCTTCAGCAATCTGCAGTGTTTTTTGAAAATTAAACCATGTAACCTTGTTCTGGTACAACCCCTAAATAAGATTTTGAACCTGAAAATGAGCATAATACCACCTCTTTAAATATTTATTTTAGAAGTGATTCATCAATTTTACAAGTTCTGGGTACCTTGTGAGTCCATCCAGCCACTGTCTGTATCTAGGATGGAGACGTCCATGGTGGTTTCATCGTTAGCTTCCTGGTAGAGCACATCAGAGGTCTCTTCCACCTCCTGACCAATCTCGATGTCTTTCTCCACCTCGCCCATCCTCTCTTCCCCCTCATGCTCTTTATCCACCGCTTTCACCTCTTTCTCTTCACCTATATCATCAGCACCAACGTCCTCCACTTTCTGCACTCCTGTTTGGTCTTCCTTTACCGCTGCGCACTCCCCTTTTTCCCATTTATCCCTATTTGTTTGTTCCTCTTTTTTATCCTCACCCATCCCTTCATCTGTGCCACCTTCGACCGGTTGATCATGCTCAGAGCATGGAGACAAGTGGGAACTGTCTGTCGCAAGCTCCCCATCATCACTGTTTTGGGCACTATGACTCCATTCTTCTGCTCCAGACTTGGGATCTTCTTCCACCATCTGATCGCCTACCGTCAGCCTCACCACCTCTTTCTTTTGCTCTTCTTTCCCAACTTCTCTGATTAGACCCTCCTCTGCTTGATTTGTCTTGGGGAGCACTGACACTTCACCTTCCTCCATCATCTCTTGAGGCTCTTCAGCAATCTCAATATCATCCTCTTCATCTGCTTCTTCCTCTACTTGTGCTTGAGGTATAATGATGATTGGGGAGGATAGTTTTGGCTTTGGTGAGCCTTTATCCACAATGCTTAAATCCTGAACAGCTTTTGAGGTCTCCTGGGTTTCTATTATTTCTAATCTTGTAGGTGTCCCATGCTCATGTGTTATCTTTTTGTCATCTTTTTTTGTGCTCTCTCCTAAAGACTGAAATGATGCTGAAGGTATGTCTGAGTTTGCCATTTCTGGTTCATCCCTTCTTTCTTCTGAGTCCTCTGATATCTGTATTTGTTCATCTAACTCTGTCTGTTTATTATCAATCTTCTCAGACTCTGGATCCTTCTCTGATTTGATCTCTGGTAATACATCTTTCATTGCCTTCTCTCCAGTGACTTGGGCTTTTGAGGGTGTATCATCTGGAGACTTGGGGGAGGTGGGAGTTAGGGGGGCTTTGCTTCCAGTTTCTGTAAGAGTGAAAGTAAAGGAATTGTCTGGTGGGATGGGAGAAGCCTCTCTGGAGGGGTCTTTTTCAACGTCTACCTCAGGGATTGCTTGGATCTTTATGTCACCAGGCAGGCCACTCTCCAAACGAAACTCAGTCAGTCTTTCTTTTGAAGCAGTTAATGGGATTCTTAGGCGATCAGGTTTTCCTACACTTGTCACAGCTTTTTCAAGAATCAGCGTCGTCTTGACTGGTGCATCTTTCTTTTCAAACACTGTTTTTTGAGCGATCTCAGGGATACTTCCTGTATCATCTTGTTCTTGCATTCCTTTTTGAACGCCTTCAACTTCTGTGGTTCCAAGCTCCTCCTCAACTTCGCTCTCCATAGAAGGAAAACGTTGGTGCGGAGAGTCCCCAGGACTGGGTACATCAGCAGGAGATGGCATGGGCCCTGAGTACTCACTGAAGACACAGTAGCCTAGTTCCTCCTGCTGGCTCTCCCCTCTCACCAGTCTCAAGGTCTGATCTCCCAAAGCAAGCTTGGCCAAAGAACTCCCCACCAGAGCTGATACATTGGTGGGCACGGACTTTCGTCTCATGTGATCAAGCTCCCTCCTCTCTACCGATAGCCGAGGAAGGGCTCCAGCCAGATCCAACATCTCAGAGAGGCTGCCTGAGTGTTCAAAACATTTGTGCTTATCGGATGTTTCTACGTTGGTGAGGTCATCTTCTTCAGATAATTCAGTAGCAGTTGGGGTAATGGAGACAGCTGGAGGAAGCTGCTGTTGGCTTTCCACAGATGGTGTTGAAGGGTAAAGCTCAGATTCATCAAAGCTTCCACTGATTGGATGCAAGCTTTCGGAGAAGGCCAGCGACTTCTCTTCTTTCATTGTCTGTCTTGCCACAGACCCAACAGTAATGTTTAGGGAGAGGCTTCTTTGTTGTAATGACCTCTTACCAGGGGATGCTCTGGCTTTTCTCTCATGTTGTTCCTCGAGGTTCTGGATAATGCTTTCAGTTTCCTCACTTAATTTTGTCTCTGCTGCTGTGCTGAGTTCGTAATAGCTTTGGGTTTGTGATGACTCTGCTTCGTGGCTTTTGGAGGATGTCTCGAAGTAGGTTTTTGCTCCTGACTCATGTTCTGCAAACATATCTGAAGTGGCTTTAAACTCTGTACCAGGTTCTGGACTTGAGATGACTGGTTCTTGCCTTTGGTCCACTTTCTGAATGTCAGTCACTGGCGTCTCATGTAATCTTACGTTAGTGCCACTATCTTGGTGCTCCTTATTTATCCCTTCAACCGTCTCTGTTTTTTCCTTGCTTTCATTTAAAGGAGTTCCCGATTTGCTTGGTGAGGTAATCCCCTCTTTGTCTTCCTCCTTAAGATTTGATAACTCCTCTGTCAGTAAAGACTGTTTTGCTTCTTTTGCTTTGGACTCCACAAGCAGGTGGCTTTCAGCTGCCTCTTCTACTACATCTTTTCTGTCTTGGTTACCCTGCTCAATTACGGGGGTGTCAGAGAGCTCTTTCTCTTTCACAGAGGGAGGTGGAGGTTCAGTCGAGGTGAGATCTGCACCTTCGGGGGTTTCTCTTTCAACTACCAACTGCTTCTGAGGTAGCGATGCCTCTTGAGGTTCATCTTCTTTCAAAGCCGACTCACACGATGCCTTACTGATACATTCTTCTGGCTGGGCTGCGAGTTTGAAGGATACAGTACAACTTTGTACTGAGTCATATTAGCTAAAGGTTTAGCTTGAAGCATCCACAAAAGCTAGCCAATACAGTCAAGACGAAGCCTTCTGCACATATATACAGTAGCTCTCCATCAGGCAAAACACACAGCACAGTGTATTTTGCAGCAGGCCAACAGCAACAGCACAAGGGGGGAGCACAGCACCTAAATTAGCGTGCAGTACTGGAATGAAGGTATGAGCTGCATGATGTTAGATGACATAAATAAATATACAGAAATGTATTGAATTCCTATTGCAATACACAAGGATTGACATAAAATGGTCAACCTGATGATAAAGAAACATTTGATGTAATTTTGTTTTATGGTGTCATTACAGCTTCTACTGCAAGTACAGGAATACTGTAGGTGTAAATGAATCTTTATATTGCTTGGAAAAAAATGTTTATGTAGAAAGGGTATATTCTTGATTCAATTAATCGTATACATAAGGATGATGATACATGTCCAATGAGGGTGGATTGTAATGCCCAAAGTGTGTTCCTTGTAACAATAGGAAAACAGAAGTATCCTCGAAATGAAATGAAAACAACACTCAAAGCAAGTGATATTCAACAGACTTAAAATACATTCAGAACTGATTCATGAAGCACCCATTCATGTAGGTGTACTCAGAAACACCTTTTTGCACACAATATTCCAGCAAAACCCATATAAAAATATACACACAACTAATTATAATAACACTTAAGTCTACAAAGGTTGACAGTTTAGACAGTGATATTTGCATTTGCAATGTAGCTGGCAATACAAAAGTGCAGAAATGATCAACTACAATATGGTTGATCAGGTGTTCTAATGTCACTCTAATGAAAAGCAAATGGTTATGTTTTGCATGAAAAAGCACACAATCAAAATGCTACGTCACACCATTGTGCACATGGCCACTTCAGGTACTGGAGCACAAGCGTTAGGATTTAAGAGCAACAAAGCTGCAGAAAGTTTGGCAGCAAAGCCTGGGTTGCACAACAGTTTATAAATCAAGAGCAGGAAGTCGGTGCACCGTGTACCTATTAGCAGAGCACAAGAGGATCATACAAATAGGTAATGAATAGAAATTCACTCCAACAGGCTTACATAGTGAATACAGTAATTCACACATACAGTATACTCGCACAAACTGCAAGCACGCACACAAAACCCATAAAACCACACACACCTTTTTGTGATGTGCTGTGTTCACCTTGATGACTTCCTCCATTGAGGACCTCAGGTGTCTGGGCTTGCTGGCAGCCCAAAGCCTGGGGCTCTGTTAAATAATCTGTCTGCTCTAAGAGCAAGTCTCCAGGCTGCTCATGTGCCACTTCCTCCAGGTAACTGTTGGGCTCTTCAGGAGCCTCCTCATCCTCATCCTGCTGTTGACTGACAACCTCTACTTTATCTTCTTTGATCAGGGAAGGGAGACACATGGATGAGACATGGAGGACAATAAACTGGGGTTACAAGAAACTTTCAGCTCTGATGGAGATGCATGGGATGCAATCAACACAACTTCTATGTGTAGACTTGACAGTAGATAAACACTGATGTAAAAGATACTTTATTAAGAGTTTGCATATTTAACTTAGACCTAATAGAACATCTTACTACAGTTGTAGAAAGTTGAAAAACAATCTTAGATTATGTTCTGTTTATTGATAAATAATTGTCCTTAGCCCTAAACCATGTAGTGTGACCATATGATTCTACATTTTGATGATCGCATACCACTTGCAAGGAGAGCATCATTAGAACACAGACTGCACTGTTCTCTATAAGTAAAGAGCTGAAAGCCAAACTGTGATTTACTCCTTGAGAAAATCAATAGACAAAATGAGCGAAGGAACAACAGAGGAGGTGTTTTGACGGGGACGCAGACTAGTGGGATGAAGGGCTCCAGTGGCAGGTTATGTACTATAGCCTAAAAGGGTGGAAGGATGTTTGTGTTGTGTAACCATAGTGTCCAGGGTTGACCCCTTAACACATGATTAGAATGTGTTAGAAACTAATAATGTTAAAATGAAGTGTGAGAAGGCCAGGACAGTGTTGCCCATGCTGTAGGCTCCTTAAAGGTGATGATCCGCTGACATGCAACTGCAACAGAGAACCCTGATATTAAACACCGAGGACCAGAAGAAAGAGGAGCAGTTTTTCTTCTCATGCAAGTGGGGGCCATGTTTTGATCTCTCGAAATGCTCAAGGCCGTGTGTTTGGTGTCTTCTTTTAGAGCAGAACTATTCTTACCACTCTCACCACCATTCACGCTCTCATCCTGAATGGTCTGAGTGGCTGGAAGTGTGTGTAGGAGTACCTTGTGCCACGGGCCCAATCTGCTCAGCGGATGGAGATGGGGGAGGGGAGGGAGGCAAATTGGCTGAGTCATCCACTGCGAAGGGAGAGAGAGAGAGAGAGAGACAACGCCGGGAAGACAAGACATGGGTGGGAGGAAGGAAATGAAAAACTAATAACTCTGCTGACCTTATCTCCGTAGAGGCTGCCTACATACAAGTTTGGAGCAATGCTCGTCATGTGTGTTTGTTTGATGCTTAATGTCCAGTGCAGATGGTTGCAGATAGAGCACCAACTAACCTCAGATGGTGTAAAATATCAAAAAAAACATACAGAGTCACATTATTGTAACTTAATATTCAGATTCAACCAGAAAAACTAATCAAAAGACACTGAAGAAACGTATTGTTTATATTCATACGGGTTCTCCCAGGTGTACAAAGTGTGCCTGGACATATTCATGTCATAAAAAGTAACCCACCTAATAACCAGCTTAATCCTTATTTCCGTCCAATTTTTCCTGTTTTCCCCTTCTCTCTCCTCTCATTCTCTACATTTTCTGTCTTTCTGTATCTTTCTCTTCCTCTCTACTAGCACTTCTCTTTGTCCTTTTCCCATTTCTCTCAATCCTTGCAGACATCAGTCCGAATATTGGCATTTTGCTGTAAATCTGACATCCACCAGCCCGTGTTTCCAAGTTATAGTGATAGTTAGTGATAGATATGATGCTTTATTGTATTAGTAAGATTTAGTAACTTTTAGCCAACTGCAAAATCATAATTTAGAGCTTGGAGGTTTTTTTTCTCCTTAGTGTGAAGTGTAAAATCTTTAAAGCAAGCATGTTTCTCAAAGGCAACCATATTCATTAGTTCCACTACAAAATAAAAAAAACTTTATTGCAACAAACCTTCTACACTTATCATAGGCATAGAGCTTTCTGATCCAATTCCGGAAAAGTCCTGCATACACTTCATAGGTTTAATTACTTGAGCAGTTTAACCCACAAGAGGCCCATCACCAAGTGTCTTGGGGGACCACAGCAATGTCCTTCAACCGTAGAACTTTTACAGTAGACTCTTCAAGTGCCTCCTGGGGATTGACTGAGCTTGCCTGGCACCATGGAACCAATCACATTTACCCACAGCTGCGGACCCATCTGGCAGTATGTGCAGGCAGTCCAACCAATGTCAGTGACCCAGTGCTGCTGGATGCACATGCTCACACACACACACACACACACACACACACACACAACGTGTCCATGTTCCTACCTGTCACTCCAGGATGTGCAGCTGCTCCACCGTGGTATCCATTCTCCCTGTAGGCAGAGCTGTAGGCGGAGTAGCCATTCTCGCCATTCTCTTGACCGTTTGAGGACCAGTGCTCGTCTGGCTGCCGACCGTCTGCCATGCCTGCCTGCTGGGACACCGGGGAGGGCACAGGTCACCTGTTGGAACAAGTGGCACGGTGGAGAAAGAGAAGAGAAAGACGATATTGAGCTTTTCACACGCAGAAGGAGGGAATAAGTAGAGCTAGAGATGATACAAATGAGGGGAGTCAAAACGTGCAGCAAAAATGAGCAGCCTCTGAAGGCCCTCCTCTCAGCTCACTCTGATAAACGATGCAGACTGCATGGTGAAGCTTACAAATCAGCCACCAGAGGGAGTAAGGTGCAACATTATTCCTCTACTTGCTCAGCCAACTGGTCTTTGTCACAGCATCCACATGCTGAGACAAGAGGGAGAGACTAAAATACCTGTACCCTATTGTATTTCTCTTTCTTTTCACTTTTACAGTGTGTGTTACTCCAAAAAGCTTCCAAAAAGTGGCTTCAATGTTTGTTTCCTGTGAGCTTAACAGGTGGGGCATGACACCATCACCATATGCATAAACATACACATTCACTGTGACGTGCTTCAAATTCAAGGATAGCCCAACTGGTGTGTTTACAGCTCAAGATGCGAGCATCAATCCAAAACACAACAATCAATAGATGAGTAAAAAGCATCCAAAATATAATTCCCAGAAATCTAAAATATGTGATGCTGTAAAGATAAAACAGTTAAGGTGCACTGCAGCGTACAGCCTATGTGAACACACCCTTCATATTTCCTCTCAACCACAGATAAGGAGGTTGTTACCATGGCAACCAGAACAGGTCTTATGGGGGTCCGGCAGATGGGTTTGACAGGCTTGCCCCATTCAGACAACAAAGTGCTCCATACAACACACGAATCAGGACAAATAAGTGCATCACGTGACAGACAGCAGCACCTATTAGCCCCCACCCCCTTCACCACAGTGCAACAAGCTCTTGCCCACCAGTTATAATGACAAAAGGTTTGTCCCAATCAAGTATGCACTACTAAAGTATCTACATTCTAATCAAGCATGTACCCTCATAAAAGCAGCCTTTCCCCTTTAGAGGAAACACATAATATTGCTTTTTAAACAAGATTAGCAGGGGGCCCTCTATTGCCTTGCAGGCTAGCTAGATAGTGTCATTATCGTCAGACAGCTGCAGCTAATTTCATCATAAACAAATCATCACGGACACTCCTTTCCCTCTCCCTCCTTTTCTCATGTCCTTTCTTTTCTACCCCATGCAGCTTTTCTATCACCACCAGCTTCTTGTAACTGCAAAGCCCAAACTCTGACCGGGTCTATTAGCTGTTTTGTGTAGCTTTTTATCATTTTTCCCACTTCCCTCCTCTTTTCCATTTGATTTGAACCATCTTTGTCTTTCTTATTCGTTCTTTTCTGTCTTCCTCTCCTGCCAAACCCTGTGCATTTCTCTATTTCTTTTTTTTTTTTTAGCTTTTTTAGCTCACACTGATCGGTTTCAACATATTTTCATTACAAAAATACATCCACAAGCAAAAATGACATATCCACTAGCCACACCTTGGTATCAGTCTTCTCATAGCCAGAAACTCTGGGCAAGAAAACACATTTCCCAAATTGTCAAACTGTTTGAGGTTTTCCACCATGCTAAGAAACAAATAATCTGAGAGAATCATTGTTTGCTTTTTTGAGGGACATGAGCCTAAACTCAGCAGCTTCAGTCCTAAAATTATAGTATGAGCCTTTTTGGAAATAGAGTCTCCCATTCTCTTTTGACTCCATTTCTCTTCCCTCCTCATTTCTTTCGAAGTCTCCTCTCCTTCCCTGCAGTTCTGCATGACGACAGGCTCACAGTGATCAGAGCTTATGTCTGGTGCAGTGGGAAGACGTGAGGATCAGAGGAGAGAGAGAGAGCGAGAGGGGAAAAAAGAAGGAGAGGAGGAGAAAGACCTACTGACACTCAAAGATACTGGGCCAAACTGTCTGACTGAGGCTGTCAGAGGCGAGTCAAGTCCCAGCTGTTGCTAGGGAAGAAAAATGGTGTGCTGACAGCCAGATTGTGCTGATGGTGGTTTATAATTGTACTGACCCGCTTTCAGCTGCTGTTTCGGCAATGTTATGCCACACTTGGCATTCTCACATTGTCCATTCAAAGGATGTCATAAACCTTGGCAGCTTACATAAATCCTTTGTGTTCTCATTTCATAAAAAGGCACTTAATTGCAGAGAAAGCAAACACAACACAACACACCTTTAACCCAAATGCATTACCACCCCACAGTGGTCCACATCTACCGCACATACCTCTTTTATATTTGTTGGCTTACTTGCTGTGTTGATGTTTTTATATATTAGAATGACTCACCTACCAGCAGACTGTACAATACTAAGAACCACTGGCCTTCTAATACAAGGTGGCTTCAGAAAAACTGGTATGATTGGTGGCGACTCGTTACCAATTGAACCTTGTAGATTAAAGCTAAAACCAGTCTTTTGAGTTGTACTGACCTCCTTTTCTATATATAGTTTCTAGTCAACAGTATTTCAGGCATTCACCATTCCTGACCAAGGTCAATGATATAAACCAGGTTGAAAACCTTGTTGTGCATGACTTCTTATTTGTAAGCACCGGCCTATCGGGTAATACTTTTAGCTGTTTAGCTAACTGTTTACATTAAATTAGCTAATTGCATACATTACCTTAAGCCATTTCATCATGTATCCATTATTTCTGGTTGTCCATTTTAACCATTTATCCATTATGCTACTTAGCTAACTCAATTAATTAGGCTTTCCATTACTTTAAGCCAGCTATTAACCATTTATTTATTTAGGCTGCATAGCTAACTCAACCATTTAGGCTACTTAGCTAACACAACTATTTAGGCTATTCATTTATTTAAACAATTTCAACCATTTATCCATTACTTTAAGCTCCATAACTGTTTTCACTTTTTTGTCAAATATTATTAGCTGACTACTTGAACAATTTATATAACAGTTTAAAGAAACAAGCTATGTATTTAGCCATTTACCGATTACCTCAGTTACAGTAACTTACTTAGTTACTTTTAGCTAACTTTTTAGACCACTGCGCAATCGGCTTATCTATTATTCTTATTTAGTAACTTTAATTTAGAATTGGGTCAAATTTTTATGTCTCAGAGGGACAATTTGGCTTACAAACAGCAGTCAGTCAGTCAGTGAATAAACAACAGATACTGAAGTCATGACAAAGGGCTTATTTTTCTCCTGATGTCTGGATTTGCCCACTCTCAAGGCCTTACTCTCCAGACCCCTGTCATCCTCCTGCGGTTAACATGATCTGACATTGCCCTCTCTTTTGCCTCCCTTTTAGCTATTTAGCAGTCTTGTATTAGAGAGAAAAGGATGCAGAGTGTAATGAGAATCCTTCCAAACATAACACCACCAATGAAGACTTTTCTGCACTGATGGAAAGGTGACACCAATTACCTCCTCAATACACTCTGTAGCTCAGTCTGCAATTTGCTTTGTGGCTAGCTAAAATATTGCTTTTATGAGCAGGAAAACCTAATTAAAGACTGATGTGGCAATTACCTACAGAAGAACTGATCTCTGCAATTCAGATAGGTAAAACCAACCTCCTCTTCAGCTCTAAAATAAACCTCATCAACCCAAAGCATGTGACTTTAGCCTTTACCCCTGAGATACTTTATTAATAGAAATGTAGTTTTCACATATACATAACCCCAAAACATATAATGTTTGACGATTATATTTTCAGAAAGGCTAGAAGTTAGCAACTGCTCAGCACATGAACCATCACACTGTCCTTATTTTGAAAAGGTTAAATCAACAGCACTAGGAGTCAAAAAAGGACTGTCAAATTCCATTACATCTTGGGATTGATGTCTTAAATTGAACATGCCAACGTGATCACTCACAGAGATGAGGAGACGGTGTGGCACCAGGCCTGAGGCTCATCTGACTTGAGTGTGCCTTTTCTCCCTCTTTCTTTTGTCTTTCAGCACCGTCGTCAAGCACTCTGATGGCCCCCCTGCTCCATTTTGTTCTACCTTCCAGGCCCAGTATCGCTCTTCTCTACCGACTCCACTCCACCCTATCCCTAATCTGACCTCACTTCCCTCACCGTCTGCGCCTCTCCCCCACCACCACCAACCGCACCCCAATCTGGGTCACTCATCATGCCCCCATGAAGCGCCGCTCACATCGGAATGTCACCATCCATTTAGGAGGGAGGAATCTCTGGCAGCCAGTCTCAGTAGGCCAACCTGGCCTTAATCCTTTGTGTGAGCGCACAAGTGTGTGTGCGTTTTGTGACTCTGTTAAGTGTGTATGTGTGTGTGTGTGTGTCTGAAAACCTTCATGTTCGCATCTAGGATCAGCTTGGTCTCTAATTTTAGGTATTATTTTCTACACACCAATCATGATGGGATGGGATGATTAATAGTATAATTTTATCTCTGAACATTATTTATGCACATATTAATAATAATAATCCATTATTCATTCCTGTGCCTGAGTTCTTTTTCTCTCATGTTATACTTGAACTTTATTATATATATATTTATATTTATTGTCAATAAATGTCTGTCTTCTCTACCCATTTGGTAAGCAGCCCTGGGTTTTGAATTTGCATTTTAAGTATTTTGCAAATTTTCTCTTAATAAAATCTTAAAAATGATAAACTGAGAATATTTTGGCAACTGTAGACTAATCAGATACAGGAAATATTTCCAGGAAAATAAGCAGTTTTAGAAACCATGATACAATAAGAAGGTCACTGGTTTGTTTTTCAACATCTAATCATTATGTCCAGAAACGTATTTGCTTGGTTATTAACTACTTTACATTCCCTGCAGGTCTAATATTATCTCAGTTAAGACAATGACATGATAAGAAATTGACTTTTTTATTTTATTGTTTATCTTTAACTGAATAAAGCCAAAGTTGGTGTGCCAGTGATATTTACCGTCTTTCAAATATTAGTTACACTATTGAAGGCATTTTAGTATCAACACAAAACTAACTGGCAACTATTTTGATAATTAGTTACTCTGCCATTTGTGTATCCATGAAATATTACATACAGATCAGGGTTTGAGACTGAAAGTACACAAAACCTCAGATGTTGTAACACACTGTAGACGGCCTGTTTAGTAGCATGTAGTTTTGAGTATGAATTAGAAAATCTAACCTTCATCAAAGCACTGCATTTTTTTGAACAGCGTCAATATTACAAGCCGTGCAGTGGATGATAGGTAACTGTCACACAAAACAGTAGCCCCGGGGAGGAGTAGGACAGTCAAGGTTGCTGTGACCTGTAATCGACCCTGAATCCAGCGACTTCTTCAACAACAGCAGCAGACGGCGGATTATGTTTAGTTGACTCAGCAACACATGTGGGGGATTGAAGCATAATGAGCATTGCCAGTTAAGTGTGAATGAACGGAGTATATGGGAAACACCAGCATGACGAGAAAAGCACGCGCGCACACACAAGCACACGCCCATGTGTAAGCGGTGCCAGACTGATTCCACTCCTTGCAGATTAAGTACCGTAATAACAGCGGAATAGGTGCACTGAGATTATGTGACTGAAACATGACAGATGAATCACAGCATGCAAAAGAGGTGCAGTGTTTTTAACAAGGCTTTATTATTCCTCAAAAACCCTCCATGACTTGAAATCAAATAAATATACATACAAATCTGTACATTTATCTCTATATATCTAAAATCTATGCATTTAGTAAATCATTGCCTTTTAGTCAATAGTCTTTTCAAGTATATAAATCAGAAAACATGACTTATAGAAGTCAAAAATTTTAAATAAGACTTATCTTATTAATTGTCTATCCATAAATTGAGGATGCCCTGTGCAGTATACACATTCCCACCAAATAAGTGCATCTAGTACTGGATCTTCTCCCCCATCTTTGATCACAGAATTAATCTACTGACTGCAAGACTTGCTGAACTAAGCCATAGTGGCTGGAAGTGGGTGTGGGGTAAAACAGCAATCAACAATTTATAAAGTTCAAAATAAAACACAGACAAAATAGTAGTGATCACAATGACAGTTTGCCAACACCGTCATCCTAATTTATTCATATTTATATTACTTACTTACTTAACTACAGAAAAACCTAATGTTTTTTTTAAAGTAAATGACAGTAAACATTGTCCTGCACTGCATCAACCGTTTTCTAATTGCCAAAAGTCAACCCCACCTCCCCAAAAGGATAATATATTGAAGGTATATAATGTATAATGACATATTTGTAGAACACTAAAACCATTATAATCACTACATTAAAAAATATTTTTTGCGCTATCAGCACCCTGCTAATTAAATTTTGCTTGGCCTGTTCTGATGAACTGATTAATATTATTGGATATGAGTTTTTTTAGAGGAAAGTCAAGCCAATTCAAGAGAATTAAAGGTTGAATTTAAATCAAACTGACTCAAACTGACTGCTGTGTCCTAACTCAGATTTATTCCCTCCTCTCACTGCCTTCATGCTTGCTTTGCCTTCTCTTTAGTTTCAGATACGTATCTCATCAGAGGAGTAGATGCTTCCTGGCACAAATCATCCCCACCCCTCCCCCCATGGTGATGTCATTGTTCCCATGGTAATCTGAGACCCGGGTTGGGAGGGGCTGGTGGTGGTCTGGAGGGGATGCTGGGATGCAGAGAGCGGACCACGTTATGGATCCTGAAATAGGTCAACAGATCCTCCAGGCAGAGCCCCGGGGTCCTTCCTAGCTGCACTGACACAAATTGGGGCCGAGCCATTTAAATTCATCAATACACTGATAGCTGGTTGCTGGTTGGGCTGTTGATGTCATTTTAGGCTGGTGCTGATGGGGTTGGTATCATAGTGTAGCACGATTATGTTATAATAAAAGCTAGAGCGGAATTTCAAAGAGATAAATAATGACATCTGCCCATTTACAAAGGTCAATGCTTTCATTACAAACCAATATCAACATAGTTCAAGTCAACCATTTTGTAAGACAATGCAAAAAAACCTTGTCCTTATGACACCTTAAACTTGCAATCCCTCGTCACATATGAGCAGTTCCTGTAAAGTAGGATTTTTTCTTGAAATTGTTCAATTTTAACACATTTTAGGGGTGTAAAGAGGTAATAAGCAAAAACAAGAGAAAAGTCATAAGACGGCTGTGTAGCAGAAATAAGACTAAAGTGATCCAAAATGATTCAGTTTATTAATTAATCATCTTCATTTATCATTCCATATGTTCTAGTGGTTAGGATTCCTGGTTTCTACCCAGACAGCCCGTGTGTGACTCCCAGTATGGGAACTAACATTTTATGCGACTAATATTTAAGTATAGATATACATCCAATCACACCATGCTTACGTCGCCTTACAGTAACAGATCTATCTCGTCAAGTGTCAGCTACTGTGTTGTGTTGTCTGGTGTCTTGCCTTGTAAATTGAGTTATTGTGACTTTGTTTTTAGCACCTTGGACCGTGAGAAACGGCTTTTCGTTCATTTGTATCCTCTGCATGTGATCAGTGACAATAAATGACCGTGAACTTGAATTGTGAAGCAATTGAAAATTATGAATTAACTCCTGTATTTTGCTGATTAATCATTGCTTAAGTTATCTGTCAAGCAACAATGTCAAAACATTTTGTTGTTTCCAGCTTCTCAAATGTGACAATATGCTGCTTTTTCTTGCCATACATAAAATTTTTGGATTGGTAGTCAGACAAAAAAAGCATTCTGACGACATCAAGAAATTGGGAAATTGTGATGACCATTATTTAATTATTTGACATTTTACAGACCAAATTATACAATAATTACATAATGAAATAATGGCTAGTTGCAGCCCTAAAACACACACTGCTTTCTTGGACTTTCCTGGGAAAATTCTCCTACAGCACTAAAATTATGTTTTACAGTATGTCTCAGGCAGCAGCAACAGCAATTAGTTGAGAGTATCAATAGACCGTGGACCACAAATATACAGTATAAATAAAAGTACAACACAACGGCATCAACAAAATTCATAAAACAGATGATAGAAGGGTGATCTAAGGCATGAAACGCTACAGCAAAGAAATGCCTAGAGGATACACATTTTGTACATGTACACCTGCTAATTGTCTCAACCACAGATAAAGTGAGCAACAGCTGTGAAATTTTCGAGCTCTCTGCTGTGTTCCCCTATAAAACGTCCTGTCTCTTCTGCACTAAGTCCCTCCCTCCCCAGCCATCTTGCATTTTCACTCGTCCATCATTGGCTGAGTGAATTGTGATGACAACTTTCCACCTCCTGGCCCACGCCCTGCACGCCCATACACACTTACACATATGCTCTGCTAAAATCAACCCAAACACATGCACAAACACCCACAAACTCAACCGCGTACACTCAAATGCATCCACAAAGCTCAATCCAGAACTCTCAGAACATGAGCTAAATATAGACACACACAAATAGAAGACTCTGAAACAACATTTACAACCAAATCATTATTCAGTACACTCGTTCTATCATTTAATTCCCTGTCATGAAAGTCAAACATGTTTAAGCAGCAAAAGCTCAAAACATGAGATTAGAGTTTCAAGCTAATGACTGCTTTTTTTTTGGCGGTCAAAAATATCTCGCATGACATCAACCCAAACAATGGCCCCTTCTAGCTTCCCACATGTTGCGGAGCATAATTCCCCCTCTATTATATACCCATGGACAGCCATGCTAATCATCTGGCTGAGTGCAGCCGCTCAGATCTGGCTCCCGGGCCTCATGAGTCATGGGAATAGTGAGTGTGAAATGTCATGGAGTAGAAGCAGTGTGCAGTATACCATCTGGCAGCAGTCCATGTTTTTGCTTTTCTTTTAGTTATTTAGGTGTCAGATGAAACTTTCTCTCTAGCTCAAGAGGATACCTGCAAGGCTCTTTGCAGTTTAATGGTTCAATCTGGAATTTATAGCAGCATGGCTCTATAGATGGCAATGTTGGACTTAATTAACAGATACCCCTATTCATGGTTCCCATGTTTGACATCTGTGGTTTTGAGAGAAATGTATCAATAACCTTTGGATGAATTGCCATTAAATTTGGTACAGACAATGCCTCTTCTCCTCAAGATGAACTGCAATCACTTGATCCTCTCACTTTTCCTCCTGCGCCGTCATCAGGTCAAAATGTTTATTTTGTTACTTTCGCTCATGACCAAATACCTGCAAAACTAATGATATTGCCATAGTGCTAACTAGCAAGCATGTTAGCATGCTGATGTTAGCATTTAGCTCAAAGCACCACCTGTATAGCCAGAGCTGTAAGCGTGGCTTTAGACTTGTTTATTAACATCTCTGTTTTTTTGTTAGCTTACCTACCTTGAAAAGCTGTCTTCACTTATGGATGAAAGAGACAAGTGCTGAGTTGAGGAGTCTGTACAGACCTGTGTGAAAAAAGAGGGAGACAAAGAAGAGGGAATACATGTTAGGACATAAATAAACAGCAGCACAAGTCGAACACTTCTCCCAAAAAAAGAGTTATGTCACTGGCGCTGACAAAGACCTAAGCCCATTTAATTCACCGACAGGTTTAAGCTCTAACCTCTGAATCCAGCCTAGCTAGTCCAGAATCAAATGAAGGGCTTTTTACAAGACAGCTCTCATCTCAGTCTTGTGTTAAGCACAGCCATGCATGCACACAGCAGCTTAGCTCTGTCACCTAGAGTCTCCCAGCAACATTAATCCAAACCTCAGCGTGGCCTTGTCTCTCTTCTAAGCTGCAGCTGATGGGCTGTACACAACAACAAGGCCAAAGCCAATCTAATCTATTCAGAGTGTGTGCATTGGTGTTTGTTGACTGCATTTAATTTTTTTGTGATCACATATCACAGGATTGCGTCTTGCATTTCATGTTACCTAAATTTTGAAATCAGACTTGTTTTATATTAAAGCTAATGGTATTATTCTCTAGCATTGCTCACATTATCAAATTGCCCTGAGAAATGCATAATTTTCTTGTCATTTGCTTTTATCTTTTAATTTATTTTGTTTAATTAGATGGTATAAAATGTTAGTGTTTGAAAATTCTTTTTTAAAAAATAGAAAAAAGTATTATGTTTCCATTTGGAATACTGAAAAGTTGTATGGAATGGCTGTTCCCACTATCTTTATGCTAAGGTAAGCTAAGCTAACCACTAGCTACTGGCATTGAGCCTTATATTCAACCAAATATACAACACTGGTGACGATCTTATCCAACTCTCAGCAAGAGAGTGAATAAGCATATTTTCCCAAATGCTTTCTTTAAACAAAATCGAAAGCTGAGAAACATTTGATACAAAAACAGACCGGTGTTCAAATGAATGAATGTGACAACAGTGTGAGAGAAAAATTAGAGAAACAGAGGTCAGTAGGATAGTTTTCAAGGCAACCGCAGGGATGATAATAATCCAAAAAGAAATCAAAGTGATTATTTTTCAGAAACAAGTGATTACAAGTGCGTGCCAACTAGGCAAACTCCACTAGTGAGCTGTTTTTGAGATTTGTCAAATTCTTGGATTGGTCCGTTGGGGCTGAGCCAGGGGAAGAGTTAAGACTTAAGATAGCCATGAAGAAAGACAGATTTGCACATTTACCCTGCTTTGGGACTATATGGAGGTAGAAAACAGAGCATCCTGTTAACATCAAACCAGTGTGAAAGGACCATTGGGGGGGGGGGGGGGGGGGGGGGGGGGGGTTCTGGTGCCAAAACAGGCAGTTGGACAGAGAAAGAAAGAGATAGAGGTTGAAGCAGAGGGATGCAAAGAGAGCGGAGCAGGGATTCTCCAAACAGGAAGCAGGTTTATTTATAGAGAAGAGAGAAAAAGAGGCCTGGAGTGAAAAATAAGAGGAAACTGAATTCACAGAGGAGGAAAGACAAATATTTCTACTAAAGGACAATTCGGGTTTATTGCAGCTTAGGTTGTATATCATTTATTAGCCTACTAGCTATAATAACACTGTAAGAAATTGCTGAGATCTGGGAACATGGCAACATTGCTACCAAGAAGTTTGCAGGGCAAGAAAAGCAAATGACCAATTTACAATGGATGGATTGGGTAATAATTGCATCATCCGCCTTTGTTTCGCTTCCAAAGCTTGGTAAACCTGGGGGTTCGTTAGAAAAACCTGTGTAATAACCAGATGTTTCTTGCTCCTTTAGACTCCTTTTTGGCGAAGTCACATTTTGTTTTTATGCATACGATGTAAACACATAATAGGGTGGTGGCGCTTTTCATATGAACTAATTTTCATAATTGCCCTTGCCAATTAAATTTAATAGATTTATTCTTGAACATTATAAAATTTCACCTAAAATTTTCCCCAGAACTGATGATAGATGAACAAATAGAAAACTACTGTTGTTATGGTCTATTAATTTGAAAGAATGATGAATTGAATTTATAAATCAGGCATTTGTCATGTTTCTCCAAACATTAATTAAGTTTTTTCCTCTAATTTGTTATCCATCTGCTTATAGAAAAGGTATAAATTACTCTTTCAGGGAAACAAGTTAATTAAATAGATGGAGAGACAGAGAATGTGGAGGGAAGAAAATTGTAAGACACAGAGAGAGAAAGAGAGAGAGAAAACAGAAACTAAAGTCACACAGGAAGAAATGTTTCTTCTGGGGGAAGGCTAGCCAGAAAAAGAAAGGGATAGGAGAGGGAAATATTTAGAGAGATGAGGAGTGACCGCCTGGCTCAAAAATATCACGTGTGACAAGAATAGAAGCATGGTACTCAAAGCCATGTTTTTGTCACAGTGAAGGATCCCTCTCTCACACAGCAGTAGGCCCGCCTGTTATGAAACCTAAGTCTCTCTCAACATAATTTGTCTCTATCTTTGTTTTCACCAAGTGCACCCATGTTTTTAATCTGACTGAAGGGAACTCATGAGAAATTCACTAGCAAGCGAAGCGAAGACACAAAACTAATTAACAAATTGAAGCAGGGAGTGGGGGGGAATAACAGATTTATGAGTGAATTCCCTAAAACAGTTCTCTTCTTTTTGATCATTGTCATCTTCTTTCTTTTTTTTTTTACCACTCTAGTAACTGCACCCACCCTCTGATTTCCACAGCCTGTCTTAAGATAACGTATCTGAAGTATCTGATATCTGATCTCCAAACTCATTAATTGCAGCTTTTACAGGATGAAATGCTGAACATTTTACAATTTCACAATCTTATCAGTAAGCCAAGATGACCATCACCTCCACTGGGAAATCCTGTGGGTCACCAGTTAATGGATGGGCACAAACAGTGAGCACAGTAGTTGTACAAATTTTTCTCAAAAAAAGGAGGAACACAGCTGATGACGCGTTTTATTGTCTTGATATCCGTCTTGACCTGCGAGTTACTCCCAGAAGGGGGGGAGGCCAAATGGGTCAAACAAGGCAGAGAGAAGAGGAGTAGGACGGTTAGAGTCAAGGATAGAGGAAGGAGGGGAAGGAGAGGAAGGAGGTCAGAGGCCGACCTAATCCACAGATTTGACTTCATCATCAGAGACGAGGCAAACAGGAAATGAATCTTAATCTCAGCGCTGTGCTAAAAGGCCTGATAAACCTTCCTGAACTTTGCTGAACTGAGCCAGGAGAAGAGATAAAGGCAAACATCACAGATATTTCCAGAATAATCTGGTCCAGTTTAATTGAGCGGCCCTTTTCTGCGTTACAGCCAATCCTTTAATTCTGCAATATTGATCTCCCTCACTCTCTCTCTCACACTGCTCATCACACATTAATTATCCAAATCTCAATGTCAATAATTCTCAACCATACCCAGCCCTTTAGGAAGCACAAATAAAACATAGATAAGATAAAGAAAACGCCGCATCGATCATCACATTCAGACAATATCATCACAGGCTTTGAATTTCATTTTGGCACTTCAAACTCCCAAGCAATTTGGGGTTCACTGTTTGCCCAAATACAATTCCACATGTGGACAGCTACCTCCTGAAGGCTGCGCTTTTGTTTGGTTTAAAAAATAATAGATGAAGCACTGTCAAGCATTTCATAATGTATGTCCAGACATCACTTTTGACATTTTGCTTTCTGTGATAGTCTTGCCCTTTGGCCTTAGTTAGCTGACTAGAGATAATGTTATGCAAAGCACACGATGCTGACATGAACTTGGAATTTCCTGCACTACATAAAAGCCTAATAACCCTGTATTTAGTTACATACGCCTAGTTTCTTGAGGACATCGAATATGGCTGCCAAAGGTTGTATTATGTCACCTGAAGGCTTAGCTGCTACTGCTAGAACTACTCCTACCTCCTAGAGCAGGTGCTAAAGGCTAAAAAAAAGGGAAGTGTGATTGTGTTACTTAGCATTTTAAATCCCTGATCTCTCAAGGGGATACTTGAAAGTACAGTGAAATTAAACTGCATTTTTTACAAACACATATTTCACTGAAATAATCTGTGTATAAAAAGGAAATCAGTGCCAGGAAACTAGGTGATTTATGTTAATAATATGAAGCTGCAGTGGTTTGTTGATGGGGGTCCAGCAAGTGCATTTTATTGAGCCTCGCTCTCTTCTGAGATCTCTTCTTCCTTACCTTTTAACCTCTTACCAGTCCTGTAAACTTCGCCAAAATGCCTATCCAAGGCATAGCCAAAATAAATTGAATGCTGTTCTTGAACAATTTGGAGTAAATACAATGGTTTTGGGCTTCTCTGAAAGATAACACTGAAGTGTCTAACCCCTACAATCACTGTACTGGAATTGATTAATTTAAGTTTCAACACAATAAGAGTAATAAGTTTTTCACTTCCGAATGAAAATTTCTGCTAACACATGCATGAAGCAAGGCCCACCAACGAAATAATAGGGGCTGGCACAACCTTCCAGCGCGGGCTCTTGATTTGCTATTGATATAATTGATCGGAAGCTTCATAGGTGAGTTGCATCAATTTTGATTGTTTTGGGTTGTCAGACAGAGGAGCTGATTGTACCTGATGTTGTGTTTCTATCTTGAAATAGTTTGCATTGGTCGATTCACAAGGATTTGAGCTTTCCAATGGTGGACCAATGAGTATGAACTCACTCAGTATGAAACATAGTTGTGAGTACATTCCGAAAGCTGCCACCAGGACCTGATGGCCCATGGTTAAGAGGTTACTTTGGCTGTGACACACTACCTCGGGCCAGTGCATGCCTCCATACAACCCAAACACATGCATGTTGAATACATTAAAGCAACAAGAGGGTGCTCTTTTATGTCATGTCCAGAATATGATAGATTACAAACAACAAAGACAAAGAAAACATTTAATTTTTAAATAGCTACTGCAATTTAGAAACTAAACTTCACACAACCAGAGACCTATATTGTTCAACTCCTTACTTTCTTTCCACATAATTTTTGTGCTCATCACCGTTTCAGATATGGCGCAAA